TGGGGCTTCCTATTGGTGGAGGCCGTATTGTTGGAGAAACACGGTAGATAAGATAGACAGACAGACATGGATGGATGATAGATAATAGATATGATAGATAGGTAGGTAGAGATAGACAGACAGACAGACATGGATGGGTGGATGGATGATAGATAATAGACAGGTAGAGATAGATAGATAGATAGATAGATAGGGAATGGACAGCAATACCACCATGCAATTATTTTTCAGTGGACCAGACATGGCCTCTTCAATAGCAAATTGAGAAAATGACAAAACCAGAATTCTGAAGAATGAGTTTGGGATCTGTCACTATCTGTCTAGCATCTTGGAGCTCCCCTCTTTTCTATATAGAAAAAGATTGGGATCTAGGAGTTGGTTTGTACTGGCTTTACAGAGGCACCCTTAGCTGCACCTCCCTTCCCCCGCCCTTACTTGTTGCACTGGTGCTTGAGATGTTTCTTGTAGCCTTCGTCTTGGAAGAGAGTGTCCGGGTTGTACTTGCGAATCCACTCTGCTTTCTGGAGATCGAACGTGGTCTGAGACTTGACTTTCTTCCCCTTGCGGCCCCGTGGAACCGGGATGGACAGGCCTGCCCGAGGAACAGGAAGGGAGCTCAGAGCAGGGGCTAGGTACAACATGGAACCAGTGCAATAGGGATTAGGTCACCCCAGCTTTTGCAGAGTAGCTCAACTCAGACACACACACACAGACACAACACAGAGGGAGCCACTTAAGGGCCCACCAACAGCAAAAGGACACTTGTGGAACCAACATTATTCCATTTCCCAAGGGTCCACCACCCGAAATTTTCTCCACCCCTGGAAAGAATTAAGGAGGCCAAAATCTCAAGCTTGGATCAAAGTCTTCCTTATCAATGGAATGGACAACTAAAGCGTGGGTAACATTCTCAGAGGACATCAATAGAGGAGATATAGAGCACATCTTTCTCCTTCTGCCTGGTCACTTTTTACAGAGAGTGTCTTAACAAACTGCGTCACTGTTTGGTGGCCGCGGTGCCTCAGATACAAAGTCCATACAGAGAGTGGTAAGGAAAGCCGAGAAGATTATAGGAAGCTCGCTTCCCATTATTCAGGATACTGCTTATAAGTGCTATGTGCTTAGTGCTTGAAGCATTGCTAGAGTCCCCACACACCCACTCTACAGTCTGTTTCTGTGTAGTAACAACAGAGATCCTGTAGATGGTGCAAGCAGCACACTGCTGTGTCTAATACCTATATGGGCTTCTTTGCATGATCTCACTCCCTGTCCCGGGCTGGTAAATCCCATACCTGGTACAATGATCTCACCTTACTAACATCACCACTATTCTTAAGGATTTGGTGGTGGTGGTGGGGGGGGTTTCACCAATCCTAATGCTGTATCTATTCACCAATCCATATGCTGTATCTATGTTACTCTTCCTTGCTTGTAAAATGGTATAAAAAGTAATAAACGCTACGTAGGGAGTCAGACATCTTTGCACACTGGAATGACTGGTTATTGAACTCCATCAGCTGGTGCCCGAACAGGGACAAACAGCTCTCCGGGGCAGCAACAGCCAACATATTTACTACTGTCTGGAATAGACCCCTAAAGGTGCATCTCGTTCCACAGGACATCATGGTAAGTATGGGTTGCAATCTGTCTCAGCAACAGCATAAACGTGTTCAGGAACTTAGATTCCTGTTACACAAATCAGGTGCTACAGCACCTGAGGTGGACATAAGGAAGTTGATTGAGGAGATAGGGAAACTTTGTCCCTGGTATCCTGAGCGCGGGACACTCAGGTTAAAGGATTGGATACAGATAGAGCATATTTTACATCTTGAACCTAGGGCTCCAGTTCAAATATTACATCGATGGTATCAATGCCATCAAGCAGTGGAAAAATTTGGCTCTGATGTCTCAACAGGGCGACAATTGACTACAAGCCCCCCTCCTGATTATGATCAGGTAAAAATTGTCACCCCAAATCCTTTCCAATTGGACTTTCAGCTCCTTCTGAGGAGGCTAAATCTTTTGATTCTCCAAAGCCATTGTATGCCCCCAAAAGGCAAGTATTAGAGGAACAGTTAGAAAAAGGGGGAGATTCAAGCTAGAAACCCAGGACAGAGACACATAATTTGTTTAAAATTTTTATGTTTAATCCTTTTTAATTATTTAGTGCTTAAGGAGATAGAACAATGGGTGTAACTAGAATGCGGGCAAGTGCTCTCTTCTGATGCACTGGATTGCAGAGTTGGATGTGGAAGGCATGCCCCATTGATTTCAATGGTCCACAGTTAGCTCTGCTGTTCAGAAGCACGGAACGAGACACATATCCATGTTGGGAAGCCCTTCCATTGGGGCTGATCAAAGAAGATATGGTTAATTTATGCTGTTATGTGTGGTAGAAAGAACTAAGAGAAGAAAAAAAGTTTATTGTTCTTTTCATTATGTGATTTCCATTAGAACTTCTTGGTGTATATGTATAATAATGTATAATAATTGTATGAAGAATTGAATAGGATTGAATTGAAGAAAAATATTCTTTACCTGTGTATAGCCCCAGTTGGAGCTGCTGCAGCTCAAAATAAAATAATTATAACATGTTTGGCAGCTAGAGAATTAAATTGGCTTTTTGGATTGGACTTAGAGCTATGGGAAGCAGATAGGCAGTGGTTAGGGCCTACAGTCACATTTGATTGGAACCACTCCTTGAGTTATCCCACTGCTCTGAGAACAAACTACAGGTTGTCCAAAGAAAGAAAACGTGGAGATTTAAGGGGACAAAACCTCGCCAGGTCTGGAAATGTGTGTGAGAATGTGTCTGTGTGTAATCATTTCCAGCCCTGGAGGATGAGATCCTCTAATACACAAAATTATTTAGACAACGGAGCTCATTGGCTCCCAGAAAAGAATTGTAAGTATGCAAGCAGTATGATTACAGTACAAATGTGTGAGTATGTTGATGGTAAAAGTTGGTGTGTGTGTTGACCCCCATCCCAGATTGAAAGGAGAGTAAGAAATAGCGTGTGCAAGGAAATGAGAAAGGTCCCATGGAGACATGTGTGTGATTTACTGGAAAGAATGATTTTGTTGAAAATAATGTTGAGTGGAGAAAAATGGGTGAGATTTCTGTGTAGTATTTTAAACATTTTCCCCCCTTCTTGTCCTCACTGGTTGTTAGCTTTTTGCCTTGTAAAAGCGGAGGCAGTTGGATGGGGGGAGAGTGAGGTTCTTGCTCACTTTAACAATTTTTTTTTCTCTGCTTTGAGTTTTTGCCTTGAAAAAGGCAAGGCTGGAAAATAACTTTTTTATAGGTTACATAGCTCACACACGTAGTCATTGCTGAAGAAATACTATTTTATCTCATGATTTTTCTTAGTACTTTTGCACACAAAGAAGCCTTAGATGGCTAGGCTGAGATGGGCACTTTGCCTGGAACGTTATCTTTGATGGTGGCTCAGTTCCCAGGTGGGCAGTTTGCCTAGAACAATTATCTTTGAAGATGGCTCAGTTTCCAGTTTACAATGGAACTCAGCCAGGGAATCAAAAATCAAACCAGCTGCACTATGTGCATGCTCTTAATCCATATTTTGATTAAAGCAGAGAATTTACACTAAAGTTTGACTCCATTAGGAGGGTTTAGAACAAGAATGTGAAGAATGCATAACTATTACCAGCACAACAGGTAAAATCACAAAAGGTATACAATGGACTTTGCAAATAACTTTTTCTTTGTAATTTTTGATAAGTACAGTAGGGTGTAAATGGTGGAGTTGTGTAAATCGATTTTCAATTTTATTTTCAGAATAACTTATCTCTTTGTTAGGAATAACATGGTTACCTAACTTAGTTTGGGTAAAATAATATATATAAACTATGTTAGTGAGTTTAAGTGTGTGTATCACTTTAACTGTAAAACATGTATTTTGGGTGCGGTTGTAAAATCACCATAAGAGGGAGCAAGAGAGCTCACTGTTTGCTGGCTTTTACTGGATTGCTGACAATGATGGATTGATGGTGATAACTGCGTGTTTTCCCTGCTATTGCTGAACGAAGAAAAGAGGTTTGATTTTCTTCATATCTCTACTGCAAAAAGAGATATATTACTGGACTGATTATTTGTAAGTTTACTGACCTCTTTTTCGACACTGGACTTTGCTAATGGATAATCCCCGGACGGACTGAACTAAGTGTATGATATATGGACTGTTTGACTATGCTATAACTCTTACTGGAATAAAAACTATTTAACTGGCACAGTGTATCTGATTTACTGAGTGTAAGCTACAACAACGTTTATCTCACATGTCTGCCTGCCTGACTGACTACCGTTGCATGTTCTGCTAGGGTGTATATCCCTAACACTCTTCAATGTGCTTTAACTGAATATGTAGGCTGTATTGCATATCATTTGCCTAAAGATCCTCGGCTTGCTTGCTTAATGACTTCTTCCTTTCCTGTCCGTCCACTACTTTCTCCTTCTCCGTTGCCCCAAGCTTCTACTGTTTTTTCAGATGGTGGGCGAACGAGAGGAGCGATTGCTTACAAGGATGATGATACCTGGAAGGTGTCCTACACTGCAGTGCAATCCTCACCTCAACGTTCAGAATTATCTGCTGCTATTTGAGCTTTCCAAACCTTTTCTCAACAGCCTTGCAATTTAATCTCTGACTCTCATTATGTGTGTCAACTTATTTTTAATCTTCCAGGTGCTTATATAACACCCAGGATTGACCCTAATCTCATGGCCTTGTTTTTAATTTTGCAGCAACTGCGACAAGATCGAAAGCAGTTTTACTATGTTTCTCACATTCGTAGTCACTCCCCTCTTCCTGGGCATCTTTCTGAAGGCAATAGTTATGTTGACGCTGCTGTTCATATTTTACCTACTTTGTTTTCAGATTTTTTTTAGTCACTCTTTTTTCCATCAAAATGCCGGAGGACTGGCACAAGCAATTCCACTTGATCAAGCCAAGCAGATTGTTTCCTCATCAACTTTGCAAATGGATGTTACCCATGTTCCCTCTTTGGCTCCTTCGAAATACCTATTCAGGAGCAATTTGGGCTACACCTCAGCGAGGGGAAACGGTTAATCATGTTATTTCTCATCTTTTTTCGGCTATTACAGCCCTGGGTAAGCCCTCTTCTTCAAAAACTGATAACGGGCCAGCCTACACTTCATCAGTTTTTTTGCAATTTTGTACAACCTGGAATAATAAGTTCATCGGTCCTTTAAGGACTGCCTCCACAAACAAATAAAAAAGGAGGGAAAAGGTCTCTAAACAGGTTAAAAAAGTATTATCAATTGAATGCAATTGAATGTTTCTATTTACCTTAAATTAATTGAATGTTTCTATTCAAAATTTAACTACTTGGGGCAGGGCTGCTGTGCTTGCTCCTACAGGACCTTTGTGGATTCCAGCTTGTTGCATCCACCCAGCCAAAGATGTCGGATCCGGTCCCAGATGCTGTCTTTTGCTTATCTGAAGCCTATGATCTAGAACATTTGCTTTCTACATGTTTAGTTCCTGTTTGCACTCCTTCTGCAGTAATTCAAAACTTCACTGGCTTAAGCGCATTTTTATTAAATGGGAGTTTTAACTATGGGACTATATCTAATTGGGAATTTGCTGCCTATTATCCATCCCCTGATGCAATTGCTTTGCACACTCCTGTGGTAGCAATTCCTGCAAATATAACTTGCGCAAAAATAGTTAATTGTACATCTTCAAGTAAAAAAACCGTCATGTATTAGCTCACCTACTTTGAACTGCACAGCTTTTGAAGAGACTTCCTCTAACTTTGCCCATGTTTGGCTACCACAAGGATGGTTTTTACATGTGTTCAAGAAACTTTTAATTATATTCCTGCTACTATTAGTGAAGCGCAATGCTGCCTCAGCCGACTGATTCCTGTTTTGCTTTCTAAACAACAAATTCGAATCGTTCTCGACGTGGGGTCACGCTAGATAGCACCTGTGACTCTGAAACAGCCTTACTTAATAAAGCAGAATACATAGCGCTAGTTGTGTCTACAGTGGGTGTGCCAGCAATTTCTGCTCGCGCTCACCTTAACATTAACTCTGTTGCATGTAATTTAGCAAAAACAATGAACGCTACTTCTTCAGCTATCTCAACAATCAACCACAAGATGCAAGTGTTGACGAAGGCTATTCTACATAATCTATGTTGCTTTAATTTGTTTGATGGGTCACGAACCATCCAGCACCAGATTAATATTTAACACAATTTGGCCTCGGATTTGAAAATTGATAATTTAGGATCTTGGTGGGAAAGATTTTGGGCTTGGTTACCCACAGGCTTAATGGGAAATATTTTATGCTATGTAGTCATTATTTGTGCTTTAATTAGTGGGTACTGCTTTGTTCAGTGTCTCCATTCCCTTTGCAAAATATGTATCACAGCTTTTCACCTCAAACTCCCTTCTGCATTGCCTCAGGGTCAGGTATATGCCCTGTATAAACAACTGCAAGCGTGCTTTTCTATTGATTATAATTCACTTACTAACTCCTCTTATGACTATGCCTTGTCTAACAAAATAAAAAAGAGTGAGATGTAGTAACAACAGATATCCTGTAGATGGCGCAAGCAGCACACTGCTGTGTCTAATACCTATATGGGCCTCTTCGCATGATCTCACTCCCTGTCCTGGGCTGGTAAATCCCATACCTGGTACAATGATCTCACCTTACTAACATCACCACTATTCTTAAGGATTGGTGGGGGGGGGGAGGTCACCAATCCTAATGCTGTATCTATTCACCAATCCAAATGCTGTATCTATGTTACTCTTGCTTGTAAAATGGTATAAAAAGTAATAAATGCTACGTAGGTAGTCAGACATCTTTGCACACTGGAATGACTGGTTATTGAACTCCATCATTTCTGTTGCTCCCTTCTGGGAGGAGTTTTCGAAGTATTTCTAGCAGGACTTCCAGATTCTGTAACAGCTTTGTTTCCTAGGCCATCTGTCTGGTAAACTCGCAAGATTCATTTTTCTCACCATGTGCATGCATATATCCAAACTAGGCTATGTTGTTTCTCTGTGTCATACTGTGTTTTCCTGAAAATATGACCTACCCCAAAAGTAAGTCGTAGCTTGATTTTTACACGTGCACCCAATATAAGCCCTACCCCCCACTCCAGGGTGCATGGGTAAAAGTTAAGTTAGGATGGGGATAGGGGTGGTGGAGCTGCCCTACTACTTACCTTCAGACAGTTGCAGTAAGGCCTTGCACACCCCGACACCTGCCTTGCTGGCTCATTTCTTCTGCAACCGGCAAAGCTTTCCTGAAGGCCTCTGCAGCTGTTATCGGCTACAGAGGCCTTCAGGAAAGCCTTGCAGGCCTTGCTGGATGCAGAAGAAGTTCCTGAAGGCCTCCGACAACGAAAAGGGCGGGGACGACACATGCAAGTGAGGTGAGTCAGTAGGATGACATCTCCCAAAAATAAGACCTAGTGTCTTTTTTGTGGCAAAAATATATATGACAGGGTCTTATTTTTGGGAAAACATGGTAGAATATATGTGGGCATATGCATAATCTTTTATTTATTTATTTAAATGTTTCTCACATTTATGTAGTTTATATTGGAGGTAGTGACCCTTTGAGAGCTGCATGCAATGAAATTTCATTTTAATGTATGCTGATTAGTGTACATTCAAAGTAACAATAAAGTTATTCTAAGTTCTATAAAAGGAGCCCCTTCCCTCTCGCTTACCCGAGTGGTTCTGAAGCTCCTTGGCCTTGCCATTCTCAACCGGGCTGATGAGATCCCAAATGAATCCTTTGATGTTCTCGTCGCCCTGATAATGCATCAAGCAGTAGACTAGGATAGCACGGCAGATGGTCTCCACGTCCCGCTCGGACATCCGCCGCTTGAAACGTCCATGCGACAGGATCTCCCTCCAGCGGCCCCAGCTGCCAGGCAAACCATCAGAGACATTGCTCACATATGGCTAATAAGGATGGGGAGGGGTCCTCGGTGCTCTCTTGAGCTGGCTTGTCTTCTTGCAGGCATTTCATTACCCTAACTAGGTAACACCGTCAGTGCTAGTGCTACGGGGAACCCTACTTACCGCAGAAATCAAGATGTTCTCTCTTTCAGCACCCGCAACTATAAACCTAGAACCTTTGCTTCTTGGGAAGCGGGGG